AGTGTGTCATTTTGCGAGGAAGGAAATATACAAGGAAAATGTGTTTGGAAGACATGATAATTAATTCAAAAAAGACATATGGCATTACAGTTTCCTGCAGAATATACAAGTGGAGATTTCGAGTAGGTTAGTTCTACACGGAGATCTGGAGTCCTAAGGGAATAGACTGGATTAAGTAAATAAATTTGAGCCTTATCAAAGAGAGTGGCAACATAAAGGTGTAGTGGTCATGGGGCTGGAGCGATTGCACAGAGAGTAGGGCTTTTGTCTTGCACGCAACTAACCTGAGTTTGATTCCCAACATCCCATATGGTCCCCTGAGCACCGCCAGGAGTAATTTCTGAGTGCATGAGGCAGGAGTAACCCCTTTGCCTTGCAGGGCATAACCCAAAAAGCAAAAAAAAAGGTGTAGTAGTCAACATAGCAAGGAAAGAATAAGTTTTAAAAATATAAGACATTAGAATTGATCACTCCTGGTAAGTGATTGGATAAACGTGCTGTGAGAAAGACAGGAATTTAGCACAAGTCTCACTTTCTGCTACTGGAGACTGGGTGAGTGATGGTTCCATGTTTATTGAATGAAATGTATACCCCCAAGGTCATATGTTGAAGCCCTAATCTCTGTTATCTTAGTATGTGACCATATTTGGCAGTGGGGTTCTTAAAGAGGCAGCTTCTGTGCCACAGATGAAACAATGATCAGCATAAGAAGCCCCACAAACTGGGAGTAATTTTCTACCACTAATCTAATAAAGGGTTGATATCAAAGATGTGTATGCACTGATATAACATTACAAAGGAAGTAAAAACAATCTCATCAAAAAGTGGGGGGAAGAGATGAACAGAAACTTCCTCATAGAAGACTTACAGATAGCCAACATGTACATGAAAAAAATTGTCTACATTACTTATCATCAGAGAAATGCAACTGAAAGCAATGAAATATCATATCACACCAGAGAGACTGACACATAGCACCAAGAACAAAACAACTAGTATTGGCATGGATGTGGGGGAAAGGGGTTTCTCATTCCCTGCTGCTGGGAATGCTCACTGGTTCCGTCTATTTTTTCAAAAACAATATGGGTACTTCTCAGAAAACTAGGAACTGAGCTTCCATATGATCCAGCAATTACACTTCTTGACATCTACACAAGGGCCCAAAAAACTCTATTCAGAAAGCAAATTTGCACACCTATGTTCATTGCAGTACTATTTACAATAGAAAAAGTATAAGAACAGATGACTGGACAAAGAACCTATAGTATAAGACCAGAGAAATGGTAGAGTGGATAGATTGCTTGCCTTTATATGACCGACCTGGTTTTGATCCCCAGCATTCTATGTGGTTCCCTGATCATACCAGAATTTATCCTTGAGTGTAAGCCCTGGGCACCACTGAGTGTGGCCCAAAACCAAGAAAGAAGAAAGAAAGAAAGAAAGAAAGAAAGAAAGAAAGAAAGAAAGAAGGAAGGAAGGAAGGAAGGATGGCATTTATATACAATGGCATATTACTTTGTCAATAAAAAATAAAATTATAAAATTTACTACTACATGGATAGATCTAGAGAGTATTAAAATAAATGAAGTTACAAGGAGAGGGACAGATCCAGGATTATCTCTCTCATATGAGAGATATAAAAAACAATGGAGGAATAACAAAGCAAAAAAAATGAGATTTTGTCTTTAGTAGGAAGTTTATTTTGCCATAGGGAGACACTGGGACAGTGGTGGAGGGAAGGGGACACCTTGGTAGAGTGTGTAATGTTGGTATGTTTTAGGCATGAAAACCCTACAGGTTTAATTTGGAGTGGCCACTTTCAGCAGTGCTCAGGGTATATTCCTGGCTCTGTGCTCATGGATCACTCCCAGCAGGGCTTGGAGGGGACCATATGGGGTGCAGGGAATCAAACCCATGTTGGCAACATGCAAGACAACTGTCCTGCCTGCTGTACTATAACTGTGATCCTGAGAGTTTTGTAAACCACAGTGGCAAAAATAAAATTTTAATGTATATTTTCTTTTTTATTAAAGCACCATGATTTACAAAGTTATTCATATTTGAGTTTTAGATATACAATATTGCAGCACCAATCCCACCAATATTGTCAACCTCCCTCCACCAATATTCCCATATCCCACTCCCTCCATTAAAGGTAGTTAAGGAAAATAAAGTCACACAGTTGGGCTATAATCCAATTTGATTGTGTTCTTATAAAAAGAAGAAATCTGAATGGCTAAAAGGCACCTAAGAAGATGCTCTACATCATTATTCGTCATGGCGATGCATATGAAAACAACGAGATATCATTTCACTCTACAGAGACTGGCCCACATCCAAAAGAACAAAAGCAACCCGTGTTGGTGCAGATGTGGTGAGAAAGGGAACCTCCTCCACTGCATCTACACAATGGAGTACTATGTAGCTGTTAGAAAAGGTGAAATCATGAAATTTACATACAAGTGGTACTACATGGAAAGTATCATGCTAAGCGAAAGGAGTCAGAAAGAGAGGGACAGACATAGAAAGATTGCATTCATCTGGGGAACATAAAGTAACAAAATAGGAGACTAACACCCCAAAATAGCCGAGATAAGTACCAGGAGGTTTACTCTATGGTATGGAGGCCAGCCACACACACTAGGGGAAAAGTCAGCTCAGATAGAGAAGGGAGAACCAAATAAAGGGTGTTGGGAGAAACCTTCCAGGATGGGAGATGCATGCTGAGAGTAGACTATAGACCTAACGAGATTGCCACTCAATGCCTCTTTTGCAAACCACAGCACCCAAAAGGAGAGAGAGAACAATAGGGAATGTCCTGCCACAGAGCCAGGGTGGGAGGGATACTGGGATCAGTGGTGGTGGAGAATGGGCACTGGTGGAGGGATGGATACTCGATCATTGTTTAACTGAAACCCAAGCACAAAAGTTTTTTAAGTCTACAACTGTACCTCATGGTGTTTCACTAATAAAAATTTTTTTAAATGGGGGGATATTAGGGCCAGAAGATGGCACTTGTATTTGGGACATATACTTTGCATCAATCAGACCCCTGGAAACCCATGGTCTCTGAGTAGTAATAGACATAGCCCTTGAAAACCCTGAGCTCTGCCAGTGTGGCCCCAATTGCTCACATCACCAAAGTACTCAAACATCGCCACATCCTCAAGCCCTCATATTAAGGGTGAACAAGTACTGCTGAGAATAACCACAGGCTCTATGAGCACTGTTTGGAAGTCCTCCAAAAAGAATCAATTAGTACACATCCACAAATGGAGGGAAAATTCCAAGAGGATATGAAATTGTCATCTACAGAGCAAAGAGAAACTATGCAGAAGAAACCAACCCCACTGACTTCTTAATCTAGACTTCTAGCTTCCAGATCAGTGAAGTTATGAATTTCTATTGTTTAAGTCACCTAGTCTGTCATTTTTTCTATGGCAGTTCTAGCAAATGGTTAGAGCCACCACTCAGGACTAGTAATATGGAAAAGAAAGCAGGTTGAGGAAATGGCATGTTGAAAGAATAATTTGATATGTTGAGTTTGAGATTCTCAAGTTACATCCAGATAGAGATATTCAAATGACTTAAATTCAAGAATAGAATGGTTATATATTTGGAAATATTGATATATAATTATATAATTAACCTTAATAGGGTCCTCCTCAGTGTTGCTCCAGACTCAGAAGCCACTCCTGGCAATACTCTGCCTGTTGGTGCAGGCCTGATAGTTTGATGCTTGGCCTGGCAAACAACAGACAAGTATGTTGGTGCTCTAGTTCTGGTACCAGGTGTCCCTAGGGTCATATCTGATGATGCTCAGAGAGCTCCAAGGTGCTGGGCCTACAGGAGGAATAGTCAATGGCTGGAAATTACTTCAAGTTTTGGGAACTGGAGGCTAATTAAGATAGAGGCAGGTCCAGTATGACAGCAATAATTGGAAATTATCGCTTTGAACAAGAACTGAGTGTTGAAAGTAGGTAAAGGGATATACATGATAACCTCCCAGCATCTGTATTGCAAACCATAGTACCTAAAATGAGAGAAAGAAGAGAGGTGCCTCTTATAGATGCAGGCTGTGGTGGGGTTTGGGAGGGTGGGAGGGAAACTGGAGACATTGTTGCTGGGAAATTACACTGGTGGAGGGACGTGTGTTAGAGTATTGTATAACTGAAACTCAATCATGAGCAACTTTGTAATGCTCTATCTCATGGTGATTCAATATTTTAAAAATTAAAAAAAAATACAGGGCCTAGCTTATACAAGACATGTGCTCCTACCTTTGAGCTATCTCCTCATCTGGGAGTGACTGCTATCATTTAAGAAGTGATATCATCAAGGACAGAATCATAAGAAATATCAACATTTAGTAACAGACTGAAGAGGAGAATCTACAAAAGTAAATATTCCAGAGAGATGCTTGATATTAGCTCATTTTTTTATTCTGCCTAATTATAATCACTTAGAGACATACTGATTTCAAAGAGTTTTAATAGAGTGAGATGTCTTGTTTATTTCTAAATCTCCAATACCAATAAAAATGCCTAATATTTACTATTCCTGCAATAAATATTTTTAATCTAATGGAATTGAAATTATAACTTTATTCTCTTTTTTATTTTATTTGCTTATATCTGGAGTGTGAAGCATGTGCTGCAACTGATAGTTTAAGTTTGTAGTGAAAAATCATTTCAACATGTCCCAGGCTTGGTCCCCTTCCAAACCAACCTCAGGACAATAGTTTTCATTATAACCTTCTGTCTTTGCCATTCTGAATGAAATTCTGTGCACAGAAGTTATATACATATATGGGTATATCTATGTAACAAATCGCAGCACAGGAGCCCCCTGGGCTCCCTCGGGCTCTGGTATGACATATTTGAGCAATATAAATTCAGCTTCTCCTCTGGCATCTGTTAGACGACTCACTTGCAACTCCACCTCAGCAGTGGTCTCAGTCCTTTCAAAGCAGGGAAAGAGTACTGTGTGCTGAGAGACCATGGCAAAGAATCCTCCAGAGAACTGTGAGGACTGTCACATTTTAAATGTAAGTTGATTCATATTTTTCCCTTTCGAGCAGATTTATTGTATTGCAATGTGAACATTAGAAAGTAAAATCAAAAGTGATTTTGAAGTATGACTTGCTATTTTAAGAGTTATTGTATATTGTTTTATTCTTTCTGTTCTTTTCTTAGGCTGACACTTTTAAATCCAAGAAGATATGCAAATCACTTAAGATTTGTGGATTGCTCTTTGGTATCCTGGCCATAACTTTAATTGTCCTGTTTTGGGGCAGCAAGCACTTCTGGCCAGAGACACCCAAAAAAGTAAGTAAATGCATATTATCATACAATGCTTCTGTTCTGAGCTTGACTGAATTTAATTAGTAATTGACAAATATAGTACTCTGAAAAGAATAATTAGGTCACTTTTCTTTTTATTTTCTGGTGTTATGAGAAAGTGAATCAAAATTTTCCCCTCTCGTTTCCTTAGCTATTTTTATCAAAAAATGTGTTTTGTGTGTTTGGGTTAAAAATAATAAACTACCTATTTTTCTCTACCGCTTGGCTTTAAAGAGTTAGGACTTTTCCAAGCAAAATTTTTACGGCAAGAAAACTTTCCATCTTTCTTTTGATTATCTGGGCAAAAGCTAATGGGAAAGTAATTATACCTTCACAAAAGAAGAAACTACCAAAATGGTAGCTAAGGATTTTCAGGAATTAGGTTTCTTGACTTAATGCATCTGTTCTGAGGACAGGCAGCGTGCTCTTTTTTCAAAGCACTTCTCATACCTGAGTTACCATTTATTTATGATTTAAAAAAACTAGAGCTTTACAACTCCTCACCAGTCACAATTATCACTCTCCCACTGAGATAGTAACACTACAATGCAGAACTAAGCAACATCAAGTCATTAAACACACGTATCTGAAAAAGCTTCTATTATTAAGGTCATTAGGTGTGGCTTAAGTAGACGTTGTCATTGTTAGTATGGCTTACTCTTATTGTTAGTCCTAGACTCACATTCAAGGGGAAAGTTGAAATGCAATCCAAATCATAGTCTCTCTGTGCTAAAAAATTTCTTTCTGCAAGAAAATTAATAAATGCACATGCAAGGTGTGGAAAGGGTTTAATGGCTTTGCCACATTTTTGTCTCTGAGTGTGGGTTACTGCCTTTATTTATCAATTTGTTGTTGTAATATGTTGACTTGATAACAGGCATTAGACACATTTGATAACAGAGAAAAGGAAAGGCATATATCCAGGAGTAAGGATGACAGATGAGAATAGCTTCGTGTTGATGATTAGGAGCCAAAGGAGCAATAGAAGCAGAGGAGGGGGGAAATGGATCAATTAGGAAGGCAAGGCAAAGACAGAAAATAGAAAAGCAGCGGCACTAGTGTCCAAGAGCAAACAAAGAAATAAAGTATAGCCATCCTTGGAATCTTCACCTCTGTTCCCTTTACACTTTCATTTAGATTCAGAGGCTACCTTTGTGTATGTGTGTGTGTTGCCAAGCACTGAACCCAGAACCAAACACATATGAGGTGAATGCTCTACACCTGAGCCATATCGTCACCTCTTAAATTTACATAGGAAGAAAATAAAAAACAAACCATCTACATTGCTTATATACCTCTTTATTTTCACCTTGTTCCAGAAAGCATTTCAGGCAGCACCCAATGTCAATGATAGCCCTCTTTCCTCTCTTTTATACCTTTTCCCCATTGCTTCTGGACTACTTTCTGTTGAGCTATCTTTATAGAGAAGAAAACTGTGTGCAAGATAACAAAGGTGGGTAATCGAGATCAGGAATGAAGTGGCAAATTTGTAAGGGTGCCAAAATGCTTTCTGATACAATCTGCTACAAATTAGCTAATTCCCAAGGTGATGTACTGCACACAAATCAAATCCTGATAATTGTAGATAAGTTCGAGGACAAAAAACTCTGGTTTGTCCTTGGCTATAATATATTTAACTGAATGTGGTAGGCAGCAAACCCTTTAGACTACCCCATACATGCCTGCCAAATATGGAGCTAGGTAGCTTTGCTTGGTTTGAAACACAAATGCTATTCTTAAAGAGATTTTGGTTTTTTTTTAACTTATATACTATTTTCCTACATGTAATTATGAATCACTGGTCGGGGAAACTTGTTTTTATTTTGTAAAGTGTTAAACTCACTAACTGAGCTCATGGTAACTTCTGTGTCCACATAACATCATATTTGTTTCTCACTAACGTCATCTTTTTAATTAATGATAAGGAAGAATTCTGTGATTCTTCAAACCAAAAGTAAGACTTATTCACATAAAAAGAGAAGTATGGTCATGAATATTTTTTAAAGAATCATATATCTTGAAAAGTAATATGTCTTAGGATATAATTTTCAGCAAAGAAACTGCCAGGAAAGAATAGTTATTATGAAGTAACATAGTAAAAGCATTTCCTGGGACATTTTTTCAACTATGGGGAAAGTATTTTAAATATAAACAAATTCTGTTTTCCATTTCAAAGGATAATTGCAGTTTGTTGTTTGGGCTGTGTAAGTTCTGGCCTTCACCAGAACACCAGAGTCTACTATTACTACTGCTTCTGCTGCTTTTGCTGCTGCTACTAGTACTATTGCTATAACCACTACCACTATCATCATTACCATTACTGCTATCAGTACTTTTACTGCTACCTTTAATTTTCAGTGGACCCGAAAGACCACATGTTTCTAATGGTTAAGACTGCCAGTAAGCCTGCCTCAGAGCTGACTTAGGAATCCTTGGAAGAAAAGTGTTGTTAGATTAATCTTGGAAGATTTGCTGAATAAAGGGATCCAGTCATCTTGCACAAATGAAAGACACTCCCTTTAAAAGTATGGTCTAGCAAGAAATAACTCTTAACAGATAAAAACCCAAACTCTTATTATTTTCCTTCCCCTGGCCTGTATGACATGTAGGAAACTGTAGGGTTCTCAGTAAAGAGAACTAACTGTTGATGCTGCTGTGCTCATTGATGGCAGCCATTTATTTTATGTCCTGTGGCTTTCTCCAAACTCTTTATGTCTGCTCCTCCAGCCTCCACCTCGATTCCTTTTTACTTTGTTTTTTCAACATCTGTTTATAATAAACAATGTTTTTTTAACGTTCCACATATGGTGTTGACATTTTCATGCCAGCAAGGCCTCCCTCCACTTTGATTACCTCCCACTTTGGTGTGCACAATGCATCCAGACTCTTGATTCCCGAGGAGGAGTAAACAATGTTAGACTTCCCACTCTTCTCCTTATATACCTCAAGGAGAAGCAGAAGCAAATAAGCACATGCCCATGACTGTATGTTAACTCTCTCTCTCTCTCCCTCTCTCTCTCTCTCTCTTTCACGCACACACACACCAAAGGGAGAAAGAGATCAAAATAAAATTTAAAAGGAAATTAACTCTGGGTGAACTGCTCCACCCCATTATAGGTTACAGGAACCCTAACATACAGCCATATATAGGACCCACTTCAGCTGAACGTAGGAAACTTTTTAAGCTCCTAACTCTGCTTTATTTACCATGAATAGGGGCCCTATTCAGTTCCACAGAGCATTGCAATGAGGCTCTACTTCCTGGCAGTGACTGCCTAGGGACCTTTGAAGCAGATTCCCTAGAGAAACATTTTTGCTAACAGCTCCCTGTATTACACATTTAAATGGAAGCAATCACAACCCAACTCTCCAACGAATCAATCCACCATGGAGAAAACAAACCAGGAAAACCCAAGCCCTTAAACCAATGGACCACAGATGTTGCACAAACCTATCCCCTCCAATCTTTAGTAGAATGAGGGCACAAAAACAACAAAATATAAAATGCTGTATTTCCTGCAATATAAAGAAGATGTCTTATAGCTTCATGGTTGTATAGATTTTTGTTTTTGCTTTGGGGGGGTAACACCTTTTGCTCAAGGATTACTCCTGTCTCTGTACCCAGGAATTTCTCCTGGCAGTGCTCGGAAGACCATATGAGATGCAGAGGATCTAACTTGGGTTGGCTGCATGCAAGGCAAACACCCTATCAGCTGTACTATTGCTCTGGCTCCTTGTTTGGAAATCTTAAAGCTCATATAGCAACTAACAGACTTCTAGGAATGTTCCCTCCACCCATCACACTACGTACCAATATCAAATAAGAGGTGCTAGGCATAGGGCCTTTTCACATCTCAGCTACATATGACAAAAAAATATTGTTTCACTCCGTGTTTCAAGACCACTAGTCTAGAATGAAAATCCCTTGCTCAGAAAAGCACTTTCTGCCTAAATCTTTGTTTAGCTTTATTTTATACTATTTCATAAACACTAGCTTTGTCTAAAAATTAAGTTTCTTCCCCCTACTTTAAAGCACACGGGACACAACTTTCTTCCCCGGGTGCCCTGGGCTTTTCAATAGAGCAGTTTGGTTGGTAAAATTTAGGTCTGGAGAAGTGTTCATATCCTCAAGGAAAAAGTTAAAGCTGTAGCTGGAATATTTCAGCAGGGGAACTAAACTTCACCAGATGATGCCACTTTGGCATTTCAAACAAATGGTTCTCTTAATTTTCTTTTCTTCCCAAACATTGTGCAACCCAACTCCACCCTTATACAGAAGTTCCTGATGATCTGGATTTTGCCCTGGGATAACCAAAGGCAGCCCCCACCAAATATGTAGATCCAGACTTTGACTGATAATAAGAATCAAGGAAAGTATTAGTCTTTAAAGGAAACTGTTCTTTTTCTGACTGAGATTGGGATTAAACTGCTGGAGAGCATGATGAGGGAGCAGCTCAAGTAATCAATGGTCGACTTGACATTGAAAAGTGTCAGTCCCATAGCTGAGCAGAACAAATTTTGTTAAATATCCAACATTGCATCTGGCAGAGCGGGGAGATAAAAATGGGGACTAAGTCTCCAGAAACATTTAATAACTTCCACCAAGCAAGTGGTAGAGTTGAGGCTAAGACTAGAACCTGGTCCAGAATTTTTTAAAATATTTTTTCTGCATTTAAGAATAAGGAGCAGGAGGGTGGGGTAGTAGATCGTGGAAAATTTCCAGCCAACTTGAATCTGTAGGTGAAAGAAATGTTTTTTTCTTATTGAAAAAGAAGAATGTCTGTGCTGCTTATGCCAATTTTTTTCAGGGCTGAGAACTGGTGATTGAAAATGCAGAAATCCAAGTTTGCATAAGGAACAATCTGTCTGCTCTGTGTTTGGCAAAGATGTATTCAGGGTTTCTTTAAATTCTATAGGATAGGTTGGTAATAATATAGTGCAACACATACCCTTCTCGTCCTTCCAGCCTAATACCTGCTAACCAGCTATACTGGACAAATATTTCACCATTGGAGAGTGTACCTCCAAAACACACAGTAAAGGATCAAGTTGGTGTGATGAGCAACTAGATTAACTACAGTGTCAGAAAACAAACCTAAGCCAAATATTCTCAAATCTCTTCCAGGACATGCTAAAGCTACTTATTCCAAAAACAGATCCATCTCCCAGAGATGTGATATAGCTATATTATTTATAAAATGTTTTCCTTTTGATCTCAGAGATAGACAGGAGTTGAAGCAAGAAAGCAAGAAAACTGTGAAAGCGGGGGAAGGGGTGGTGTTAGGATTTATTGGCTAGCTGGGTGTAGGATTTAACTGGACTTAGGAAAGAATTCCTAAAGAAGGAAGATAAATGAGTTTTTTGTCCTCTTGATGCTTTGTTTATGGGATCTTGTTTACCTCTCACTGTCTGGACTTAATCACACACACATCTTATTTCACTTCTGAGTCACATTCCACTTCACTAGACTTCCTCTCCCACACCAATGTTCTGGTACTTACACTTAAGACCACCGGCATGGACACTTTTGAGTGCTATTATTGGATCAATGTCCTTGCCACTATGTTTAAAATATATCATTACTTATGCTTTGAATGAATTACTTCACTCATTTAAAATTTTTGTATTTAAAACAGAATAATGATTTACAAAATGACTGATAGTTGAAACTTGGCATACAGTATTCCAACACCAATCCCACACCAACATTAGCTGCCCTGCACCAGTGTTTCCATGCTCCCTCACACCTGGCCCCCACAACCATGTCTGCCACTTTGACAGGCACTTTTCAGAGTTTCATGATTGTAATTTAGATTTAGTGTTTTCAGTGTTGTTTGCATCTGTACTGAACTCATTTTTAACAGCTAAATACTTACCATCTTAGTGTAAATACTTAGCATCTTAGTGTAAAATCACTTTTCAAATTGATTTCTACTTTGACCTAAGGCCCTTAACTTTATCTCCAAATTAGAAGATCTGTAAACATAATACAAATGGATGTGGGCGGAGGAATGGGGAGTAGAGAGATAGTACAGTAGATCTGGTGCTTGCCTTGCACAAGGCCAAGCCCGGTTCAATCCATGGCATCTGATATGGTCCACCAAGCACCACCAGGCATTATCACAGAGTGAAGAGCCAGAAGCAAGCCTTAACCATCACCCAAAATGGCACAAAACAAATGAAAACATGTAACCAGAGTGATAGTATAGCCAGTAGGGACCTTGCCTTGCACACTGCTGACTGAATTTTTATCTCTGGGAACACAAAGGATCCACTGAACCCTTCCTGGAGTGATCCCTGAGCACAGAACCAGGAATGAGCCCTAAGTATTGTCCGGTGTGACCCAACAGCAGAGAGAGAGAAGAATTTGGGATGGAGAAATAGTGTAATGGGTAGAACGCTTGTCTTGCATATGGCTGACTTGGGTTCAATCTCCAGAATACTATATGGTCACACAAGCACTGCCAGGAATAACTCCTGTGCAGAGCCAGGAATAATCCTTGAGCATATACAATCACAACCCCTAAATCAAAAAAGAAAAGTAGAGAAGGAAATTGGAAGGAAAATTGGAAGGAAATTCAAATTGTACCTAAGAAGGTACAAACTGAACAGTATATGAAAAGAGCAAAAATTAAAAAGAAAACTAGACACTTCAAGATTAACTGTTTCTATTTGCCAATTTGGCAGAACTATCCTCCTTGTCACACTTGATCCCTGAAATTTCCTTCCTGGAATTAAATTGTTAGGGACAGTCTGAGATGAGCTACTGAAGGTCCACTCACATCTTTTTCCAACAAGTCACTCTGTCTCTGTTTTAGTTTGCTCCAGGAAGAACAAAACCATTTATTCCTTCATCTCCAGAAAGGCACTCAGGTCCTGAGCCAGGAAGTTTAGTAGAGAGAAAAGTAATTCTAAGGCCAAAGGTATGAGCTCAGTCTTCATATGGGTCTGTGAAGCTTGTATAGCCATTACCCAGACAATGTGCTCCACAGGGACCCAGACGAGACAGTATGTCTGAATTTGTTCAAACTCATCTCCAAACAATCCAAAGTGGGATACCAGCATCATCTTCCTAGACAAAGGACAATGTGATCCAAAAAGACACCTTTGACAATATAATTCCTTTGTAATAAATATAGAGCTCCACTCTCTTATTTCCGCACACACCCCATAATTTACAATAGATTCAGATCCGACTCTATTTACCAACATATCATTGTAAGCAAAAAGTTTTAAAGTTTGTTTATGAATGTAGTCAGTGTGGACAGACACCTTCTGCCCCACTAAAATAAGTAAATAAATAACCCTAAGCAAATCTCATTGAAGGAATGGTAAAAATAATCAAGAACTGCTGAGCTCGGCAGTTTCCAGTAGTTTTCATCCAGCAAGGTGTCCAAATGAAGTGCATTGCCAATAGTACAGGAAAACTCATTCCACAGAAGCACACTGAAATTCTAAATGTCACCAAGTATGGTTCCATAGTCTTCTACCAATGATTGAAAATGCAGCTTGTATTTTCTCTTTTGCCCAGGTAGGCAGAATTCCAACAGCCCCTAGTCTCTAACCTCATTTTTCCATACAACAGTCCTTCAGTAGTGCAAATGATGAAACAAACACCACCCCTACCTCCAAACGTTGATGGTGTAGACATTTGTCTCAAAATGTATAGTATTTCTAAAAAAATTGCTCCCCCTGTTGGGATATCTGACAAGACTGAATTGGAGTAGATGACTCTGCTTGGTCAGTCTGTCTGAAAGTTCCATTTGTTGCCATAGGTAGAAGTTATTCACGCTACCTACATAGCTGTACTGAGGACATATTTATAACTAGAAGCAAATAACAAGCCTATAGGAATTTGTTACCCGTCATAAACCAGCTCAGATTTTCTGAGTTAACTCTGCAGTAGCTGGAAGATTATAAATACTATTTTCCTTACCTCTTTAAAATATGATCTCTCAATTTTTTCACCAATGAATTATTTATTGTAGATGATGCAAAAATAGAAAAAGAAAATTAAAATGTGGTCTTGAGACCTTGCCAAAGTTCAAAATGTTTTAGGGAAATGAAGATTTGCCTTTAGTGGGTGGAGAAATTTTATTTAAAAAATATTTAAGCACAGACCTTGGCTAAGGTGCAGTGGGACTAGAAATACGTAAATAATTTATCTCTTCTGTTCTTATTTAGCAATTATATAAACTTTTTTTTGCTTAAAGTATCACTATTTCTACAAAACCTTCCAATTTGTTTTTTACTGGAGTGCGAGAAGTTTTGACCAGGTCAAACTAACATTCAGTCACAGACAGAGGTAAACTCAAACAATTCAACCTAATGCATTCTTTAACAGACTGCAGGAGGGAATGACATCTTTAGAAAGAAACATTGGCTCTGTAGATGACTTATTCAGGATTGTAGTTTTACAATTTTTTTGGTATGGGAAAATCTTTATGACTAATGGGACCCTGAAAATAAGAAAAAGATAGATCTCCACATGCAACTACCAGATCTGGCCAGGTAGTGGAAGGTAGCAAATTTCTTTGGGCTTATTATTTGCTTCTAGCTATAAATATATTCACAGTTGTAGGCTTACTACTCTTCTGGGACTCCCTATGACTTGGTCCTCTTGTAAACGAACTACAACAAAAACATACTTTTATACTATAAGACAAAATTAGTGGTCACCAGAGGAATGGGAGGACAGGGCATGGATTCAATTGAATTAAAGGAATCAATGGTATGCTGAAGAATAGAATTGGAATTTCAGTGGTAAATTTATGTAGTATGTACACATGTCGACTTTAAATTCAGCACCCCTGAAAGTTTGATGATGCTATAATGCAATGTTGCTAGGATTTAAATCTATGCTTAAAAGAGAAAAAAATTCCTGTAGAGACACTCTGGAGTTTTATTTCAACCATCCATGAACATTTACAAGGCATTCTTCTTGGGAGGCTCCATATTATTTAGAGCAGGGAACTTGGCAATGTGATTGAATTTCATATATAACAGAATCTGGAGAATCTGGAGAATCTGGAGAAACTGAAGAACATATATAAGAGAATTTGGAGGCCAACTGAAGCACAGAACTCAGGAAAACAATTAATGAAATTAGTTAACACAGAGAAAGAAAACCACAAATATTCGAGGAAGACAGTAAATGTTTCCTGAGGTTTTAAAGAATAAAAGGAAGCCCTGGAGGGAAAGGTAAGACTATTACCTTATATTAGCCACGGAAAACAGTCCAGATACATCTAACAAAAACAAGATCCAAAGTTGTGGAAGCAAAGTGCCTGGACTGATAAGAAAAAAAAGAGCAATGTGTAACCACTCCAAACAAGATTTAAAAATCTCTTTCTGGTTCAAGTAATATTCATAAAGAGTGTGAAGTTGAGCATGAGCACTTGTAAAGGAAAATGGTGGTTTAAGGAACCATTTCAGTATTAGGTTTTAGGAGATCGTTCTGCTTAATACAAGGAGAAATTACAACAGTTTGCAAAGTATCTACTTAGCAAAACTGTCAAGAAAACTGTAGGAATTCATAGTAATTAGTTCAGCACTTTAGCTTGAATATAAAATATTGACTCCAAAAGGATCTTCATACCAGCCTGAATGCCAAAAAGCACCTCGCTTTAGTCTCAGTCTCAGAAAATTCCATTTTCAACTCTGGATATAGCACCTCACTGAAAAGCCTCTGGAAAGTAAAGATGATCCAGATATGACCTAATTAAAGTGTCTTGTGAAGGGACACATTGAGTATCTTAGCACTTGTTTTTCTATATTTTTCCCAGACATATGACATGGAACACACTTTCTATAGCAATGGAGAGAAGAAAAAGATTTACATGGAAATTGATCCAGTGACCAGAACCGAAATATTCAGAAGTGGAAATGGCACCGATGAAACTTTGGAAGTACATGATTTTAAGAATGTAAGTTGATATAAAAATAAAATTTTAAATTTTTTTATAAAAGAATGCAAGTTGGGTATTTTCCCCCTAACACTTTCCAATTAAAATGTTAAAACATTTGGATCAAGTTAAACATAGACTTTGGCTTCCATTTAATTTATAAGACAAGATTTTCTCTTTGAATTCAAATTTTGCCAGCCTGAGGCCCTGAGAGATTATGGGACTCATTAATTATGATGATTTCAGGAAGTACTGCTAATTTTTGTCTGTTTTATAGGGATATACTGGCATCTACTTTGTAGGTCTTCAGAAATGCTTCATCAAAACTCAGATTAAAGTGATTCCTGAATTTTCTGAACCAGAAGAGGAAATAGATGAGGTATGTAATAATAGTAGAGGTAATCAAAGACAGTATTTATTAAATATAACTATGTACTCAGTGCTCTACTCAGATATTGTACTCAGTGCTCTACTCTCATTTGATTCTCATAATGACCCTTATATACAAGTACTATTCTTACCCCCATTTCCAGATAAGGAAATTGAGACTCTTAAATGAAATATGATTTGCATAAGTTTGCACAGTTAATGAACAGCAAATTGTGATCTTGAAATCAGTCATCTAAAATATTTGCTTTCAGGAGAAAGTTTATATATACCTGGGTACCCATTAAAAGTATGTGTATTTTCTCCTAAGTCAAAAGCTTTTGTTAAGAGGGATAAGACAGAGAGACAAATTTAATCCTACCTAAGTCACAGTCCTAAAAAAGTAGTCTTAAGGCTACCTGGGATCTTTGTCACTTTGGTTACATTGTACTGTTCACCTAATGCTTTCAGTTCATTCAGTTTGTCGTTTTATGCCAGTTTGGTAAGAGACTACCCCACACATATCCTCATTAGGAGAAGCAAAAGGTGAGAGCTATTGTGTAATACAAAGTTTCTGGGAACACACTGTGTGTTCCAAGTGTTAGATCACTGAATAGTCCCTCAAAACCTATTGGAGGATGGTGAATTAATGCCTAAAATATAGCCATCAATTAAAACCCTGGCAGATATTTCCTTTCCCTGCTAATCCTATATTACAATAATCCTATTGTAATATCAGTGGAGAAGAAAGAGTTTAGCTAAGGCTATATTGTGACAGTAACCTCCCCCCACTCCCCGGTAGACAGGAGGAAACAAATGCCCATTTTATTTTGTTTTGTTTTGAGTTTAAATGTCATATCTGCAATGAGATTTGAACAGCTGCAGAGTGGCCTCTCTCTGTACCACAAATAACTCTTTTTTCTTTATTCTATATTCCTAATTATTTTTCATTTTTTCCCACCTAACTCTCTCCATCTTTTTCCTTATCCAACCATTTATCTTTTCCCCTTTTTTTAGGGAGGAGGCGTAGCCTGATATGGGCTGGGAAAAACATTTTTCTTTCCTCATGTAACAGTGTTGTCATTGACTCTCACAGATATATATTTTATATCTCTGGTCCTCTCATGGCCAGAGTAGTTTCAGACCCTTCTTATGAGAATTTCCAAGGAAAAGGAGATTTTTCTCAAAAATGATGTTCTGCTCCCAAGGTCTATGGTAGTGAAAAATTTGGGGTATTTTTTAAAGAAACATAATTTATAGTCATCTGAGGATCAAACCAACATCCAGCCTGTTTAGTAATAATCTATGGAGTATCATTTGCTGCTTAGCAAAGCCTATTTATTAGGAGGCAAGACAAGAGGGAAAAATAATTAATGGGATAAGTTATTATTTTCCCAGGCAGTTTTCCCAGGAACAAAGGGAATTATGCTTAGTGAAGTCAGTCAGAAAGAGAGGGACTGATTCAGAATGACTGCTCTCATATCTAAGAGTGGTAGGCAAGGGCCTACCCACTGTACTATCTCTGCACCCCTTTTGTGATTTTGGACCACATCCAGCTGTACTCGGGAATCACTATTGATGGTCCTTGGGGACTATATGTGATGCTGGGTATCAAATGAGATAGGCTGCATGCAAGGCAAGTAACTTATATCTCCTATATTTTCTCTGGCCACATTTCCTGTTTGGTTCTTTCTTTATCTCTATTTATTTTGGGGTCATGTTGGGTATCAAACTTGGGTAAACCACATTCAAAACAAGCATCCTAACCATTACACTATTGCTTGATCCAGTTCTTTTGTTTGCTTGTTTCTTTTGTTTCTTTTACAGAAAATAATCTAAGTATTAAGCAGGGCAACCAGCAATGAGTGATAAACTGGCATAATAGGATTTTTTAAGAAAAAGAGATAAAGGCAAATACAACGTCACATTTGGACCCTATATTATTCTTCAATTAAGATTCCCAGATCTTTTAAATAACACATGAAGGGGCTGGAGCAATAGCACAGCGGGTAGGGCTTTTGCCTTGCACACGGCCAACCCGGGTTCGATTTCCAGCATCCCATATGGTCCCCGGAGCACCGCCAGGGGTAATTCCTGAGCGCAGAGCCAGGAGTAACCCCTGTGCATTGCCGGCTATGACGCAAAAAGCAATAAATAAATAAATAAATAACACATGCATTCAGCTAGGGACTCTGAAATCACTTTATCTTTTAGAAAATCCTATTTATTTGGTATTCAGGCTACTAAAATTCAGATTTTTATGAGATCAATGTGTGGTTCAAAATGAAAAATAACACCTCTTGTTATGTACTTCTTTCATAGTGTACCCATACTTTGTGAATGTTAAACATGCAGACAGGTATATAAATAACCCTGATTTTGCGAACAAAGCTAGTCAGCATATCAACCTGATTTTATATAGTCCTTTTCAATGTATTCCAAGGTCTTTGCAGACTTAAGTGCAAAGGATCTGAGACTTAACAGTTGTAAATGACAGGGTGAATTATACAAAGGCTTGTTTTAAAGAATAAATAAAGTATCTGAAATGATAAAGCCAGAAAGACACAAAAGAGAAAGGACATGTTTATCTAAAAGTAGGAGGAAAATCTTAAAGTTCAAAAAGAAAAAGAAAAAGAACTCGGTATACAAGACAACCACTTCCAATCCTAGAACCTAAAGAGGAATATAGTATTCATGACAATATAATAAAGCCTACGTAAAGGGAAATATTCTGAGATTTAAGCAACTGGATGGAAAAAATAAAATAATGTTACCGCCAGTGAACTCATGGGCTGAAGACATCGTCTAAACTAAAACTAGCTAACAGTAACAGCAAATTTTGCAAAACCAATTTGTCACTGTTTTTCTTTTGAACATACCTAGCTGTTCTCGGGTCTACTAAGGAATCCAGGCAGTGCCTGGAGGAATACCATGCGGTTCCAGGGAGTAAACCCAGGCTTCAGGAGGCAGAGCATGCACTAGCCCTTTGAGAGATCTGCTTGGTCCCCACAATAAAATATTGTATCTTCAAATGATATTTATTTCATCACACCAGTTCAGAATACAGGAGATTTTTCAACTTGAGATTAAACCCTGCTTGCAACTTTTATTGAAAGCTTGAAAAATAAGGCAGCAACTTACAATATCAATTTAAAGAAAATTAATTAATTAATTAATTAATAACTCAGGATTTCAGAAGTCCAAATTAACACAAACATGCTTCAGTGGAAGATTTGGAAAATGATAGAAAGCCTCCTTTGAGTGAGGTAGTAATTGAGAAGATGCCTGTTTCTGTGATTAATTTACTGTAGACCAGAAAGAAGGATTTTTTTCACTCTCTAAAGGGCACCTACTGTGTTGCAAGTCACAGAGCTTTAGCAGATCTGAAGTTGCAATTGCTTTCAGACTAAAAATAAAATATTATCCAGTGTACTATATTGCCTCACTTGTCATTAATTTCTCTTCCTGATCTTATTTTTTCTTTCAGAATGAAGAGATCACCACAACTTTCTTTGAGCAATCAGTGATTTGGGTCCCAGCTGAAAAGCCCATTGAAAACCGAGACTTTCTTAAAAATTCCAAAATTCTGGAGATATGTGATAATGTGACCATGTTTTGGATTAATCCAACTCTAATAGCAGGTGTGATTTATTTCCCCTTCCATTCACCCTCCTCTGCTTTCTTGCTGTCCTCCCTTAAAGTCAGTAATAGGTACTGTTACAGCAAGTTCCCAGCATTTACAGACTACATTTCTAGGAAAATAAATGATCAGCTTAAATCATCTTAGATAAAATCATAAGTTCTGGCTGCTAGTGAGGAGTTTTTTCACAGTGTAGTTATAAATCAGATAAATTAATGCTGACAAGCTTTTAAATATCCCAGTAAAGGTACTACCACCTTAATGTGACTAGTGTTAGAAAAAAAAACTAATCTTCTTTGTGCTTCTATAGTCATTCTGGTCAGGATACCAGATTACTTATTGCACAAATGTTGGTGGGTCCAACTCAAGAACAGAAGAGAGAAGAGCTAAACCAATACTGAAACTGTTGTCTTAAGAAAGATTCTCTATGTGTAATGATGGAAATCTTCCTAGAGATAGGAGAGTCACTGCAATACATACATTTTAGCTGATTTAGAAATCACTATAAAAGCAATTGAGTGATGGATATCAGAGTAGATGACTTTCAATCTCAACTTTTAATTATCCCATAAAGAAGGCAAAGGTCACTTGGACATCTCCAGCTAACATAAAATTATCCAGACGGCATACATTATTATCACCCAAATATGTCACTCCTTTCGATGCAAGCTGTTAACAGCCTTTACCTTAACAACAACTAAATTCAATATGATTTGAGTTGAATTTAGAACTTGTGTCTAAGCACCCTTTATCTAAATAGGATTAGTGGAAATAACAATGAAATCTGAACAGTCTATTTATTATTACTATAGTTTAAGTCACATGGTTACAATAATGTTAGCATTTTTTTATCTGTTGTAGAATGTTTCTACACCCCGCCAACAACGTGTCTTACTCTGTTAAGTTTTTTGAATTGTACCATGGTTACATAACATCCTAATTTTATTCTGCTAATAAGGCAAGGCAGTAAGTAAAGATGTAAGCAAGTAAACAAGCAATGAAGAGGTCTGTTGTGCATGGGAAAATTTCCATATGTTTTAGAAAGTTACCATGCAGTATTACTGAAGGAGCTTGGAAAAGTGCTTCGTGGATGCCAAAATGATGGCGGTGAGAAGACACAATTAAAATATTTCTCTCCTGAGCTGAAGAGACAATACAGTGGGTAAGGCATTTGCCTTGCACACAGTCAGCCAACGTTCAATCTCTGGCACCCCCATTTGGTCACCTGAGACTGTCAGGAGTTATTCCTGAGTGCAGATCCAGGCATAACCCCTGAACACTTATGGATGTGGCCAAAAAACAAATAATAAAATAAAGTCTTTATCCCCAAGTGTTATTTCCTGGAGTACTTCTTTTAGAAGTACTTTTAAGAAACATCTGCAGAGTGTTACCTCACATTCTTGTCGCTGTTATTTTAGTTTCAGAGTTACAAGACTTTGAAGAGGATGGTGAAGATCTTCACTTTCCTAGTAATGAAAAAAAAGACGTTGAACAAAATGAGCAGTGGGTGGTTCCTCAAGTGAAGGTGGAGAAGACGCGTCATGCCAGACAAGCAAGTGAGGAAGATCTTCCAATAAATGATTATGTGAGTTATAATTATGCCATTTTTGTTAGAAGAAAAAGCAATAAGCCTCACAAAAATCACTATCCCAGAGATCATAGCCATTGGAAAGAAAATTATCATGGTTTTAACAAAATAGAGAGAATTTTATTTTTTGCATTTTATTTCTGTATTTATTTGGATCTTAGAAGCCTCATTCAAAATGAATCTTGATCTCTTCTGCTATATCCCCATGATCAGACTAAGAACTATGATTGCCCCCAATCCCCAGCTCGTATATAGTCTCATTCAATACTCTGCCCCAGACCACCCCCCATCCCATATTTACACCCACCCTCTCCCCCACCCTTTATTATCTGGTTCTCTTTCTGATGAATATTCCCCTCAAACACTGGCTTCTTCTTCTTTCAGACTGAAAATGGAATAGAATTTGACCCCATGCTGGATGAGAGAGGTTATTGTTGTATTTACTGCCGTCGAGGCAACCGCTATTGCCGCCGCGTCTGTGAACCTTTACTGGGTTACTACCCGTATCCCTATTGCTACCAGGGAGGACGGGTTATCTGTCGTGTCATCATGCCTTGCAACTGGTGGGTGGCCCGCATGCTGGGGAGGGTTTAAAAAAGAACTTTGAGCTCCAATGCTAAAATTTTTGGCAGCCTACATATAATAATTGCATGCTGATCTATGAATTTCTGCCTATGAGGGCTTTGGCTTCTGGTAGCCAATACTCTGGAATTACTTGTAGGTAATTCTTCTCTTCATGTTCCAATAAACTTTTACATCATCTTCAATGGCCTGATTACTGATGAACACACTGGGTAAGAGCTTGCTAAGAATATTTCCTGAAGCTGAAATAGAGACTTTCCAATATGGATATGAATGATAGAAAATTGAGTTTCATCTTGTTTGATGAGAAGGAAAGGGCAAAAACATAAGGAGTCTTAAATATCACATTTTACTATGCTATACTGAGAAAGTAGAAATAAAGACCTGTGGTAAAATATCCCCATAAAACATGTCCTTTTGTGCATAGCTTCAGTGTTTAATTATCTAAGAGACATATTGCAATCTTGCATAAGCATCTATTAAGCCACTGGCCAGGCAGTGAGTCACAGCAGGCCAACACTAAAATATTTCAAGTGCGCAAACTCAGCAAAGGAGAAAGCTATCCTAGCAAAAAAGGGTTCCCAGGCTTTCCTCCTGTGAACAGAAACTCAACTTTTGACAAGTTGAGCATTTTATAAACTTCATTTCTGACTTTTCTTTCGAGCAAAGTCCAGTTGCATAACTTTCCAATGCACTTGTCAGGAAGGGGGATCCATAAATATCATGAACAGAAACCATAAATAGTTTAAGTGAGGAGTCAAATGAGATCCCCCACCCCCTTTAAAAATCCTAATAAACAAGCAGTAGAACATTTCTTAAAGGAAAGATAAGATCTAGTTTCCAATGACTTGATACTTTGCTTGGGAAAACAGTAAAAGGGAAAGGGAGCAGAAAGAAGTCTTGAGAGAGGGTGATGTTAACCTTGATGTCCAAGCAAGTTCTAGTTTCAAAATTCTTTTCTACAAGTTGGTCGCCCCTTCTAATTTCATTTGCAGTTAGCCCTTTTAGAGTTATTGTGCCACGGAAATATCAAATATCTGTCATTCTCCATCAGAAAAGCATTTTCAAACATTGAGAACTTCAAGCAGGCCCTGGGTCAGGAGACATTCCCCTCACCTTTAACAGTTGAGGAAGAAGCAAATAGAAATGTATTTGCCTAAGTCTGAGTTAACATTAATCAGTCACTAATTGATAATTAGCATATTTCCCATACTTGTGATACAAATTTTCACAGAATGAGGACCATAGTAAAACACACATAATACAATATTACTGAATATATTTTCATCTTTTGTTAACTATTTAAAGAAATATGAGAATTTAGGAGTCCTTCAATTATCAAGCTTCTATCTATAGTTGAAATTAAAAAATAGAGAAGAGATGGGAATTATATATCTTATGAGGCTCTAAAATGTTTTCTAATAAATTAGTCACTTTGACACTGCTTTTTAAGACCAGTCAATAATTTTAAATTCTTGATACATTCAACTTTATGAAGTCAACATAGTACTGTATATGTTCTTTGAAGAATACAAACGAAGTAGATACAACATGTTTTATTTCTAGAGAAATATAAGATACTTAAAATAAATAGGCACTAAAATAAAAGCTTATATATACAGTTATAAAAGCTACAAAAACAAAAGCAGTGAACTACAGTTGTATAAGGCATGCATGTACACACGTAGTATAAGGTTCTAAATTACATTTTAGGATTAATATTTTCTAGTTCTTTTAATTTAGGAAGAATTTCTTGTGCAAATTAGATACCTACATGTCTACATAATTTCACAATGGGAAGGTGTCATCACTTTAATTAGGCATACCATGAGTTCAAGAGAAAATGCAATTAAAATCAGAGGAAAAAAAATTCACACATAGGAGAAAAAATCAAAAGAGCAAACAAATCCAGTACATCAGGTGTTTTCAATAAGCCAGACCAGGTTTGAAAAATAGAAAGTATGATCTCCTTACACAGTCATGAATTTTTGCTCTCATTTGATTCCACTGAACACTCCCTATATCATGTTTTGTACTTCCCTCATAAAAACTCAATTGAAGCTAAAATTACTTTGTTTCCTTCAGCTACCCTTGTCTAAGTCTAGCCTCCCTTTCACAAGCAGCAATATCAAAGTAACTCTGACTGTCCAAGTCAGCGACCTTCCAGAAATCATAATGTATTCCATTTACCCCAATTCCTCACTAAAAACTTTCAGTAGGGGCTACAGCGATAGCACAGTGGGTAGGACTTTGCCTTGCATGCAGCCGACATGGGTTCAATTCCCAGCATCCCATATAGTCCCCTGAGCACCTCCAGGAGTAATTCCTGAGTGACGAGCCAGGAGTAACCCTTGTGCATTGATAGGTGTCACCCAAAAAGCAAAAGAAAAAATAACCTTTCAGTATATTCTCCTAAACGACCACTCAAGCTTAAAGTTTAGGCCACAAGGTAGTTCTTGGCATGCTGGTAGTATTCTCCCCATTAAAGTTCCCAGACTATAGACTGGAGTTAGAATAAATATTCAATTTAAATACAAATTTTGCTTTCTGCTTATAGATTTTATGATTGCCATTTCATTTCTGAGGGCATAATATCAAATTATGACATTAAGGGTAAGTGCTAACTTCCATTTAAATAATACTTCCTCAAAATACCCTTAACTACCAACTCATATTTCTTTAGTTCTCCCACTAACTTCTTTATTTGTATTAGGAACCTTACCTTCATATTTATTTGTTCATACGTACCATCTTTTACATAGTTTTCTCTTACTAATTTAAAGAAATGAGGTCCAGGGGGAATAGTACAGTGCCATAGATATGCCTGCCTTGCAAGCATATGATCTCATTTGAACTCATGTTCAAATTCCCTGCATTTCCACTTGATCACTTGATTGCTTGACATCCCATTACTCATCAATTTGCTCAAGAGGGTGCCAATAAAGTCTCCATTAGTCCCTGTTGCATGCGAGTTTAGCCCAATGGTGTCTGCTCACTCCAGGAACATGAAGGGCCTCAATCCGAAAGTTAAGGGTCTTGACGAAGAAGTCTGACCATCTCGTAGGTAGGCAGCCAAGAGATCTTTTGATGTCCCATGGAATCCAGTCAGTAACAGCTCTAGTCCAGCGGTCCTCTCCAACTCACATTACGTGTCCAACCCATCTGAATTTCGAGGAACTGGCAAACGAGACAGCATCCCTGATTCTCGATCATCGACAGAGGTCGGAACTCCGGATTCTTTCTCTCACTTGAGTGAAGGGTGATACTCCAAGCATAGCTCTTTGGGAGACCCAAATAGCATTCTCATCCTGCACATCCTGTTTTCGTAGGGTCCAGGTCTCTGAGGCGTATGTTAATTCAGGAAGAACAGTGGTATCAAAGAGATGTGCCTGGAGCCAGAGGTCCTTCATCCTTTTAGCTATTTCTTCAATGTTCTTGAAAGCTTTCCAAGCCACTCTCTTCCTCCTGTGAAACTCAGGTTGCCACATCCACTGAAAATGATCCTGGCAGCTTTACTCTCTTAGATTCTTAGTGCAACAATTTCCGACCAAACTGCAGCTGTGTTTATGTGTGTGAGAGAGAGAGAGAAAGAGAAAGAACACACTGTGAGCACTGGAACTAAAGATGTGCAAGCACCACAGCCAGGAAGTACGACCCCTAGAGGCTACTATCACCATAACTCATATACCTCAACTAAATAGTGCTACCTCCTGAACTTACATGTGCAATCACCACAAAATAGAGAGTAAAAAACTCAGCTGAATGTTTAAGCACAGCAACCTGATGTGTAAACTCTGGCAAGTATCTGTGAGCACCATATCCAGGCAGGTGCGTAACTTCTGGTCACCACCACCACAACAGAAAAAAGTGAAATGGGGAAGAATTTTTTTAAATGAAGAGATTTAAAATCCAGCTTTTCTTTTACATAAACATGTGAAGCCTAAAATCTTTTTTACTTCTTTCCAAGTCTATAGAAGGTAGTAAATCACTGAATATGATAACCATTTCCATATGAGTTTAACTGATGGGGGGTGGGAGGGATACTGGGACCCTTGGTGGTGGAAAATGGGCACTGGTGGAGGGATGGGTGCTTGATCATTGTATAACTGAAACCCAAGCACAAAAATTTATAAGTCTACAACTGTACCACATGGTGTTTCACTAATAAAAATTCAAAAAGAAAAGACTAGGGCTCATGTTCTCTCCCACTATGCTCTAAAATCTATCAAGGTACTTAAATAACATAAATAAACTTTTGAAAAGTTTGACTGGATTGGGGGAGTGTCACACCTGACTGTGGTCAGGGATTACTCCTGTTCTGTGCTCAGGCATCATTTCTGTGGTGCTCAGAGGACTGGACTATATGTGGTGCTCAGTATTGAACCAAGCTGGCCACAGGCAAGGCAAGAACTTTAATCCCTGTACTATCTCTCCAGCCCTAAACACTTTTTAGTTGATGCAATGAAAAAGAAAGGGAAGACTGTAGAAGAAAAAGAGATTGTAAAAGAGCATAGCTACAGATGCTTAGAGATTATTTTTTTAAAGGTTGAATTTGAATCCTGTTGAAATTTGAGATGAAAGTTCTTAAGTTACTAAATCTATTTTTGTACTCTAAATTTTGACACAGTTTCTTATTGCTATTGAGAGGAATTCTAATCCCAGAATGACCATAAACCCAAGTAATTACTCACAGCTTGATAATCTTGTTCCACTATACAATGTAGAATTTTTGCATTTTCCACTCAATGGTCCTGTATGTAAAATTTTAAAGGTCAAATAAAGCACATCTACAGTGAAATCGCAGAAATATCATATTACCTTTCGGAGTCTTAGGGGATCTGAATTCCAATTTAAAAATAAGTGAAGCAAAGCCATCCATTGTACCTACTCTGCATAAGGGCACTGTGTATTAGTGTGCTCTGCGCCTTCCTGCACACGTAAAATGGCTCTTGGCAAGAAAAGGGGTAAAGCAAATCTATTTTAAATCTTTATATGTAAGTCTCACTGTCTGA